AATTGTGAGCAATTTGACGCTGGCATCGATATCCACCCTACCCCTCTTTAGGAAGGCACTACTGTAAAGTTGAAAAATCATAAATTTAAGAGAAAGCGATAACAGATACTACAGCTTGATCCCAGTCTGAAGATCAAGATTGTTTCTTAGTATGCTACGCTTAGTAAATTACATATCTCAGATTCTCGAGCTACTATTGCGGAGTCGGTACTTAACACATATGTAGCAACACGACGATTAATAACCGCTTATCTAGATTGAGACGCACCTATAGTGATAAACCTCGTTATGATCATCCCCAGAGCCGTTTTTTTAGTTAAAGGCGCGTTGCAAGTCAATGTGGTTTCTTCCGAAACTTTATAAATAAATCCTATCAGCCCTCCCCAAATTGTCATGTCTTTGTTAACACATGTATGTGTGCTAGGTTTTCCAATCTCTTTAAAGGTTTTATTTTATGGAATTCTATTGATGGAATTCTATTGATAGTTCTTTTAATGGCACTGTCCAGTGGTTATTTTCTAAGCGTAGCTTAGATGTGGTACAAGGCCGAAAGTATGAGGCACCTAGTGAGGATCGAACTCATTTTTCAGTTGTAACTGATCTAGCGAGACAAGCTCGCTAACCATTCCACCACCACGAGGTGTGTATACAAAGCTTGTTCGTACAATGCCTATGGATGCTGTTCTTCAATTTGGTATTGATGGCAAAAGCATTTCCATAATATTTACTATTTCCAAAGCTATTAAAGTTCTTTGATTTTGGTCTTTTTGGAGACAACATATATCGATGTTATAACTATGAACATTGCCGTCTTCTTCTTCTTGTTGTGCCGTGTCTCGTCAGGACTTTGGCGATCGTGGCTCTCCACAATTTCTTGTCCTTTGCAGCTCTTAATAAATTTTGTCTTTTTGTTATCTCTCCTAAATCTTGTTCCGCCACTCATTTACTCAAACGTAGGTTATGCGTTGTTTTCTTTTGCCCCTCTTGCCTTCAATCTGTCCTATAAGTGTCAAATTTTCCAAGCCGTCTTTCCTCATTATGTACCCTAGAAATTTCAGCTGTCTCTTTCTCATGTTAGATATAAGTGTCCTTTTTTTGTTTCCCTTTTCTCTAAAATTTCGTCGTTTCTCAAATGTTCAGTCCATGTTATTCTCAGCATCCTTCTGAGCCAATAATTCTTGCTTTCCTTTTGTTTTTGTTTTACAAAAGTCTTCTAATATCAAATATCTCAATGATAAAATATTTATATACAGTTGGAGGCATTTACAAAGTTTTAAATAAGAAATTGCCAACTTTTAACAGTTGACAACCAGAGAAGTTAGTACCTTCTCCTTCAACAATGATAAGAAGCTGATAAATACTTGTAAACGTTACCTAAAACAATATTCCTGCTTATTGTCACTAAAAACGAACTAGTATACAAACAAACAATTGTTAGCTTTGTATGTTTTCTGTTAAAACTCTGGTACGACTTACATTTAGGCTACAAGTGGGTACTTGAGCCAACATAAAAAAAGAAAAAAAAAGAAGGACTTTAAAAGCTGATTAACTAGGCAAGTAGGTCCCCCCCACTTAGTACATTTCTTTTTTACACCAGTATTCCTTCATTATCTACTGTACTAAATTTTTATTAAACTTTGTAAATATTAAGAGACAAAGGACAAAAACGGCCTAATTCCCGCGACCACTGTCACAGTTTTCATCAAGCTTCCCTAGTGCAATGAGGGAGGTGCTTACGTCGGATTAGGATCCCAGGTATCAAGCATCGTTCTAAGATTTTCCATCAATTACCCGATGGAAGACATTTTGACCATGTTGCACTAAACATCTTTCATCTAATATTTTGTTGTTTTTCGTCCCAAAGTAAGATGAAAGAAAAAATAAATAAGCCATGACAAAGTTATATCTACAGAAAGAAACAATATGGAGAGTATTAATCGGATAAGGATAAAATAGGGCGTGAGTTTAGGGGAAATTATCGGCTCGACCCACTTCATAAAATCTGACGAAATATTAGGTTGGCCAGAAAGTCCTGACTCACTTAGAAATCGAGGAAATCACAAAAAATCTTAACCACAGTCTAATGGAATTTCCAAACGGTATTTCGATCTTGCTCCACTCGGTCACGCCATCAACGCTAAACTGTATTGCCAGCAGCTAGACCATGTCTACGACATATTAATAAAGGAGTATCCTGCTTTGGTCAATCGAGGTCGGGCTTTGTTTTGTGCGAGGCCACACACTGCCAGTTGAATAAGAAGAGGTTCAAACAGACAGACGGTGTTGACATTCTTCCATATCCACTATTCAGTCCCGATTCTGCTCCGAGTAACTATGGCCTATTCTGCTCAGTGGCGCACTTCCTCCGCGACCAGCGATTCAATATTTTTGATGAAGTGAAGGAAGCTTGTTTACAATTTGGGCGGGGGGGTATTCAAAACCAGAAGACTGGTATTTGCGACAGAATTGGATGCTGGCTGATCGCTGGAAGAAGATCGTCGATAATGATGGACTTTATTTTGAAGAATAAATGTTGGTGGTGCTCCATAAAATTTTGTTGTTTTCTTTCCGCTTGCTAAGTGAGTCAGGACTTTCTGGCCAACTTAATATAAGATTTTTTTTTTCGAAAAGCTTCGTGGTCGGACCGGAAGATTTTCAGCAACCCATCATGTGACTAAATTTAAATAACGTCTGATAGTTGCCGTTATAGTCCTTGTTCTACGTTAAATTTACTCGCCATTCGCTGTTTTAACAAAAAGGATGCTTATACTTAGTATCAGAAGGAACAGTTGAAATTTCTAGGACACATAATGAGGAAAGAGCATCGGAGTAGATAGAGTCACCTATCGTCCGGTTCACACTCCTCCCGGTCTTTTTAACAGTAAAATCTCTTGTTTCCTGTTTAGGATTGGGTTTCCGGTTCCTTCTAAAGTCTACTTCAACTCTATATTTTTAATGAACTCAGAAATGTTATTCATTAATTAAATCTTGAACTCTTCAAGTCTAGAGCTAGCCGTTATCTTTTCTGCTGTTATAGTACCTATTCTATTGTAATGGACTCTCCCACAGACAATAAGTAGCAGTAGCAGTCGCCAGTTCGGCTGAGTGGTGTTGAGCAAGTCAGACGATATCGGACATTGAAGTACCATCCATCACAAATAGATTGCTGCGTCATTAACTCTTATTTTTCCAAGTTCCTAACGTTTTGTAAGTCGAACCTAATTTAGGACGACTTATTAAATTACAAGCCTCCACCGTGAAAACTACTCCACAACATCTGCTTAGACCCAAGAACTACACGTCTTGTCCTTTTTTTTATGCTAATGCAACACCACATAGTGACACTCTACCTTGAGTGGCTCTTTGGCTCTGTATTTGGTTAATATTACTAACAAAAAAGAAAGAAAAGAGGGTTTGGAGAATCTGACACTCACAGGGCATATTGAAGGCAAGAGAGACAAGGCGAAGCAATGAGTAACATACCTAACGAGTTGGTGTAAATGGTTGGCCGAACATTGGTTGGGAGAGATAACGAAAAGGGTTACGGTTCCCGTCCGAACAACGTTAACGTTCCCGTTAAGCAACGTCAAGCATGGTCAGTGAGAATACTAGGTGTTGTAAGCTTGGATGAGTAGATGATGTAATGGACCAGGGATTATTAATCGGAGAGCCGAGTTCTAATTCCCGTTGGGTTCGGTATATTCACTTACGCGCAAAAAAAAAACTTTGTAAAGTTATGGACCCACTTCTTCTACCCCCAGCTATGGGTTAATTAGTAAGCCTTGTATCATTAAACCATTATTATCTCAAAAATAATTCTTATAATCTAAAAATATTTTCTGGCTTTAAATAACCTTCAAAGGGCTGATAACCCGTAAAAAACGAATCAATAAAAAATAAGATAATAAATAAGATAACGAAAGGACAAAACTTACTAAGTACTACAAAAGGTAAGAAGTTGTGGAAAGCCATCGCCCACGTCCTGAAAGGAACATGGGTCATAGAAGAAGAAGAAGAAGAAGAAGAAGAAGAAGAAGAAGAAGAAGAATTTTACCTTCAATATGTCAAGCCTTTTTCTCATTCTTCTTTTTTTATATGCCACCTACATTCAGGAGTTGATGATGATCACGGTTCTCCACAATATCCTGTCTTCTGTTGCTCTAAGTAACTCTTGTCCTTTTTATCTCCTTTAGGCAGGAGTGCCACTTGCTCACAATGGGTTACAGAGAGTGAGAGTAAGAGTAAAGAGGAGTGTTTGGGAAAAGGATAAAGAGAAGGACAGGGATCAAGGTCAAGGCATCAGAAGATGTCGATTGACATTACATTTGAATATTTGAAGATTATAGCTATCAGGGAAGCAAGTGATAGGAAGGGAGTTCCAATGACGAGAAGTGCGAGAGAAGAAGCTGTTTGAGTAGAAATGGCTAAATTTAGTCGTTTCGACAGTGAAAGGGTGGGACCGATATACCAACCTAGTAGCACGCTTAAATTCATGCAGTTTGGGAACCAGTGAAAGTAGCTCGCCGGAGCCGTTGATATGAAAGTACTTGCAGAAAAGGCAGAGGGAAGCCACAACGTCTGTGAGATAGCAACTGCAGACGGGATGCCAGATCAGGACCAATCACGTCGCATATCTGTCTCTGGATTTTGTCAAGGATCTCGAGATGACCAGCGGGAGCACCAGACCATATATGGCAGCAGTATTCCATGCAAGGAGGAATGGTTGATTTGAAGGATGGACTCAACTTTTTGCAGGTTTTTTAAAGACAGAAAATATTTTTAGATTCTATGATTTGGTGGGGGGAGGGCGTGCAGATAATAATGATTTAGTGATACACGTCTTACTAATTAACCCATAGCTGGGGGATAAGAAATGAATTCATACTTTCCCCAATGGTATTTGCGCGTAAGTGAATATAACGAACCTGACTGGAATTGGAACTCGGCTCTCCGATTAACAATTCCGAGCCATTATCAATTACACCACCTGCACATCCAAGCTTACAGCACCTGGTATACCCAAGCGGTCACCCATCTATGTACTGACCATGCTCGACGTTGCTTAACTTCGGTGATCATACGGGATCCGGTTTTTCAACGTGATGTGGCTGTAAGCAGTAGTCGCGACAGGCTTACGATGTTATGCCTGTGGGGAGGGCTGACTTAATAAAGATTCGTGTCATAAAATTTTACAAGAATAGAATATACTGTTTCGTTTTTTTGTTTTTTCTTTTTATATTTAAATCAAAGATTTTCTCTTCCCACTGAATTGGTAACTTTAAGCTGCAAAGATCTTGCTGTGGAATTCCAAATTAGTCCCACCTTGAAGTTTGGGCTTGATCACCACTGTGTGCCCACGCTTGTCGCTTTAGCTAAGACAATCACAGGAACCCTAACCACATAAGATAAGCAGATGACACGTTGTTGATAGAAGGCACAGAAAGGAAACTACAAGAACTCCTACAAAAGATAGTGAAAAGAAAACGAGAAGAAAGAACTGGACCTCAATTGCAAGAAAAACGAAGTCATGGTTGTTAGCAAAATGAACAACCCTAAAATAGAAATTACAAATTGGGGATAGCGAAATCAAACGAGTACAACAATTTAAATATCAGGGAAATGTTTTAACAGAGGACCCAACGAGAAACACTAAAATCAGAAGCCGCATTGAGATAGGTAAAAAAAAAACTTCGTAAAGTTGTACAAAGTATTAAGAGAACAGATACATTTCGTTAGAAACAAAGAAAAGATTACTTTAACTGTTATGTAATATCAATCCTCCTATATGGTAGTGAATGATGGACAATCACCTGACAGACGAAGAAAAGCTTTGAAGCAACAAATATACAGCTCTATGGAAAGATGCTGAGAATACAATGGACTGAACATGTGAGCAGCGACGAAGTTCTAGAGACAATTGATAAAAAAAAAAAAAAAAAAAAGAAAAGATGCTTAAATTTAACATCAGGAAGTGACAGATTAAATTTCTAGGCAGATAATGTGGAAACAGGGCTTGTAAAAATTTATACTCACAGAACAGCTTGAAAGGGAAAAGGTATTGAGGAAAATAACGCAGAACCTACCTGACGAGCTTTTAAGAAGGAATGGCAGATCAGGGTTAGGGAGAGATAGCAAAAAGACAAAATTTATTAAGAGCTACAAATGACAGGAAATTGTGGAGAGCCATGATCGCCATTATCCTTTTTTTTAAGAAGAAGAAGAAGAAGAAGAAGAAGACTAAGAAGAATCAGAAGAAGAAGAAGAAGAAGAAGAAGAAGAAGAAGAAGAAGAAGAAGAAGAAGAAGAAGAAGAAGAAGAAGAAGAAGAAGAAGAAGAAGAAGAAGGAGGAGGAGGAGGAAGAAGAAGAAGAAGAAGAAGAAGAAGAATTGGAATTCTCATGATGGTTTTAGCAGAAAAACCAGAAGTGGAAGAAAAATAAGAAGAAGAACAAGAAGAAGAAGAAGAAGAAGAAAGAGTTGTCAAGAAGAAGAAGAAGAAGAAGAAGAAGCATTTAAATTTTTGAAGAAGAAGAAGTTTCTCAAGAAGAAGAAGAAGAAGAAGAAGAAGAAGAAGAAGAAGAAGAAGAAGAAGAAGAAGAAGAAGAAGAAGAAGAAGAAGAAGAAGAAGAAGAAGAAGAAGAAGAAGAAGAAGAAGAAGAAGAAGAAGAAGAAGAAGAAGAAGAACAGAATCTGGAAGAAGAAGAAGAAGAAGAAGAAGAAGAAGAAGAAGAAGAAGAAGAAGAAGAAGAAGTCTTTAAGAAGAAGAAGAAGAAGAATTTGAAGAAGAAGAAGAAGAAGAAGAAGAAGAAGAAGAAGAAGAAGAATGAAGAAGGTGAAAATAAGAAGAATGAGAAGAATGCTATAAGAAGAAGAAGAAGAAGAAGAAGAAGAAGAAGAAGAAGAAGAAGAAGAAGAAGAAGAAGAAGAAGAAGAAGAGAAGAAGAAGAAGAAGAAGAAGAAGAAGAAGAAGAAGAAGAAGAAGAAGAAGAAGAAGAAGAAGAATAAAAGAAGAAGAAAAGTTTCTTGATTAGACGCTAATCAATGTATTCAGTGAACCTTTTAAGTCAAAACACGTGAACAACTGTGTGTGGCTGATGACCTGTATCGTGTTCTACCAGAAGATTATTCTGGATAAATCAAGAGTCGAAAACAAAGAAAAGAAACTCCAATGATGCTTTCAGCAGTCAAGAAAAAAAAAAAAAAAAAAAAAAAAAAAAAAAAGTGATACAAAAAGTATGTTTTTATGTGGGGGCGTTTGCTTCGTCTCTGACGTCAGAATGTTATCATTAATTCGTGAGTGCGACGTATTTGTGACGTCAGTCGACAGAGCATAAGCACGTGGGCGGCCGACAACGTAGGTTTTCTTACGCTACTGAAAGTCGAATAAGGAAGAATTCAACTTTTGCTACAGGTACCTTCATATGGGGTTTTATTTAACCGAGTATTTTTTTTTATTGTTTTTGTACAGTTAACTTTCGACAAAAATAAGCTAAGAAAAGAAATACTTTTATAATATATACATGTGTCTGTATGTATGCCGGTATGTAAATATATATATATATATATATATATATATATATATATATATATATATATATATATATAGATATATATATATATATATAATGCATAGATGGATACATACAAACACATATATACATATATAGTACAGGTAATAGACAAGTTGGTATATAATCCAGGTGGATCCTAGTAATATCAAATATTAAAACGTGTTTGCGTATGCAGCTATTTTGGGGGGAACTGAATTTTATAAATAAATTTGTAATTTTGAGTGTCGGATATAATTTTAATACATATTTTGTTGTATAAGCTTTTATTTCCTATTACTAAATTTCACGTTACATCTTTCAATAAATGTAGCTTTTCTTAACCACTCAAAATGTAAAAAAATACTCAATTATCAAGGCATTTATCGGATTAGTACCAAATACGTTTTACGGCAAAATGGTTTTATAACAGTTTCTTGTTATCGCGCGCGTTTTTGTTCTTTAATTTTGCATTTGGTATTTTTTTGACTTTTGCTTTCTGCAACTCAAGGAAATACAAAAATAACTTTCGAATATATTTATTTAAAAGTTTTTAATTTCTGATTTTACAAGAATAAAATGTATTCCTTGCGGATTTTACACAGGGTTTTTTTTTTCTTTGATGACATTTGAAATCCTTAACATAATCATTTTTTTATTACTGTTCACCAATAGAAGGCCTAAGTGCCACTCAATGTAGAGATTTACAGATTGGAGAGGCTATGAGGGCGTATAAGAACTGCCAAGGTTTGTATAATATAAGGATATATAGGATAGATAACGGTTACACCTTGATTTGAAGAGGTTAAATTTTTAATGATCAGGGAACATCCACTCGGGAGTCCGTTCCTCATTGCAATATTTCTGTTTATCTATTTAATAAGCTTACAGAATATTGTTTTATTCTACTGTTTCAATGGGATATGCTGCACTTTATAAACATTGGTTCTCAACTGGAATATCTCAACGTGTTCCAAAATGGAGTCTGTAGGATTCCTAGTAAAGCATTATAAATACCAAGTTTAATTATCGTTAACAAAAAAAGAAAAAAAAAAGAAAAGAGAAACGTGTCAACAAATTCTGCTGGCCCAGCAACCATGTCGAGTAAAACTGGAAGAAAGCTAAGAAAGAACTAAATGGACAATATGGACAATGAAGATGACAATTGTGCCAGTCGTTGTTGGAGCAGTGCGACTGGTCTCGACCAGCCTTGTGAAAATCTCTGGACATCCGGGGAGAACATCTAGACAGGGTCATTATTGGATACAACTACAGAAATACTGACGATACTTGTTGTCACTTGATACCCAGTGTAGACCACCGGATATCCCTTGCGTGAAAACTCAATAAATGCAATACGAGACCAAAATGACGTGCCAGATAATAGATATCACAGCTCCGGCCGATTCCAAATTGAGTTTGAAGTAAATTGAAAGGGATAAGTATCTAGTATAAGTTTCCTAACTTCTTCAGCCAAGGAGCTGGGGGACTATAATGGTGTCAGTCGTTATCAGAACACCAGGAACGGTCCCAAAGAGCGTAGGAAAATAAAATAAAAAAAACGGGGGAACTGGAAATCAGAGCCAGAGTTGTAACCATCCAGACGATATCATCACTGAAAACAACTAGAATAATGAATAAAGTCATGCAATATTGAGAAGACTTACTGGCACTTAATCTTCAGTATAAGCCATCAGTTGAAATGTGAAAAGTTAGTAAGTGCAATAATAATAATAATATTAATAAACCTCCTACCAATCCGAGACAGTGTTTTCTATCTGACTTTCTGGGACGAGGAATTACTATTACCATTATTCACAATAACCTAGCTGATTAAAACGTTAATTCCTGTATTTGGTAACAATAACTGTGAGTTCAATCCCTGAACTGGATAATGCTGATTTGGATACAGTGGAAACAAGGCGAGAAGTACAAAATAAGGACAAGACGATCTATCCGGAGACATAGACAGTGTAATAAGAACTGTAGATTAAATAAAGTGTTTAGTTCAAAAATTCCCTGAAGGTTATCTGGATCGATAAGCATCAGAAGCAGACCGGAGGACAAGTCGGCCGAAACTCTGTGGTCATAACAACAACAACAAAAAAAAAAGATGAGGACATTAGTCCGAATGTAAATAATAGTTGTCTTTGTTAAGCAAACAGGAAATGGAAATACATTGTGACGAATATAAAAAAAAAACTAAATTATTAATAATTTACAAAAATGAAATGAAAGTAAAGCTTTGTTTTCAATCAATAACTCCGCCTTTTCTCATTCTTAAAAATGACAATGATGATTTATACTGATGATATCAATAAGGATATTGATGTCAAAGAAAAATAAGCGTAAGCAAATATTTAGGTGAGAGAACAGGTAGCAAAAAAACCCCCAAAAAACTTATTTTGAATGAATCAGAAGTAACTAGTAACAAACATAAAAAGCAAGTTTTCAAATGTTCGTAGGTCATATGTCAAGAATTCGGGCATCACACATTTTATAAGTCTGAGTCTAATGAGCTTTAAATATGGAAAGGTTTCGCCACAAATCTTTGAATCTAGTCTTGA